GGAGGGGTGGGGGTGGGTAGAGAACCAAGCAAATCAAAATAAGGCAGATTACAGTAAGTGGGTTTGGGGGGTGTTGTTGAAGGATGCATCTTTTGAGATCCCCCAACTCATACAAATTAGCCCATGGGTAGGCAAACTAAGGCCTGGGGGCCAGATCCGGCCCAATCGCCTTCTAAATCCGGCCCGCGGACCGTCAGCGTGTTTTTACATGAGTAGAATGTGTCCTTTTATTTAAAATGCATCTCTGGGCTATTTGTGGAGTATAGGAATTAATTCATTCCCCCCCCCTCAAAATACAGTACGGCCCCCCACAAGGTCTGAAGGACAGTGGACCGGCCCCCTGCTGAAAAAGTTTGCTGACCCCTGTATTAGCCCATGGCTTGGAAAACAGAAGCAGAAAAGGTGAGTAACAGTTGGAAAGCAAAGTCATTATAAGCAAAGGATGTTAACTTTGCATCACTTATTGGACAATAATATTTCCAGAAAGCAGATGACACACTGGTATTGGGGGAGGGGGAGAACCATTTTAAAGGCAGCCCCAAGGATGCCCTGACTAGATAGCCTAGAGAGGCTGCATGGTCCACTGTGTGAACACTTCCTAGCCACCCAGAATGAGAAACTTTTTTCACTTTTTTCCTAGATCTACTCTTAACAGTTTCCTTTTTATTCTGGACCTGATGGGGAGCCTGCCCCATGCCCACCCACTCTTTGAGTAGCCTGTTTCAGGGCCACTTTGGTGCCTCAGGCAGAAAATCCAAAACACTCTCTCTCTCTCTCTCTCCCCCCCGCCACACGCACAGAGTCATCTCACAAACCAATGATAAAACACAAATCCATATATTATATTATGACCAAGAACACTGTTAAATTCACTTCATTGCGTTGACCCCCATACTCAGTTTTATATCCTACAAACCTGTTGCCTGAGGCAACCACCTCATTCCACGGCCATTTAATTACTTCATTTTCGTCCCTGCTATTAAATTTAAAAAGTATCGTCCTGTTTCTCATCTTAGTCTGCTTGGCTATGGCTGTTCTTTCTTCATTTGCCTCACTCTGCAAAATTTGATGTCTGCCGACACTGTCTCCCCATAAAGTAAGGTTTGCCCTTCATCTTGAAATATTGCTGAATGTTTATAGAGCACTTGTAATGCACAAATCGCTTAACGGTCCTGAGCTCATTCGTTGGTAAACAACCTTCTGAGGCAGCCATCATCTTACCTACCTCCCAGGGTTGTTGTGAGGCTAAATGAGATAAGGATTGTAAAAACACTGTGCCCACTAAAAATGTCCATAAATGTTCAATAACAATGGCTAGATGCAGACAGCTGGTGCCAGAAAATAAATAAATAAATAAATAAACGACTTAAGTGTGACTTAAAAAAAAATAAAAAATCAGGATTGGATGTTTTTCTGTCTGCACAGCAGGAATGAGAAACCTGTGGCCCTCCAGGTGTTGTTGGACTCAAAACTACTATCACCTCAGCCAAAATGGGTTTAAGATTGTAGGAAGGTAGATCTAAGGTTTATTATTAGGAAACACTGGGTCACAGGTGATCAAGTATAAAATACGTATACCACCACACACATGCATCTACTATGTGCATTTTGGAAAGCTGGTTGTCTGTTCTCTGTGCATTCAGACACCTCTTAAAATATTGTAACTAAAGTTTATACGAGGGTTCCTGAGATCAAGGGGTAGGATACAACTGTGTATATTTAGATACAATCAGATGCCATTTTGAATAAAAGTGGCGCATTGAAACTTCAGTGATTTCTGGCAGGGTGTCTTACTATTCCTAGGAAATGCTGGGTTCAAGGTTGTTAGTGCTGTGTTTTCTAAAGGAGGTGGGGAAAGAATAGGGAGAAACCCCGGGGTGGGTGTGTGGAAATCAAGGATTGTCATTTGCACATCTCTTTTCAAACATCCATGCTTTTCTATGAGCACAAATCATAATGCATGCAAAATGAAAAGGAATTCTGGGGAGGGCAAAATAAAAGAGGGCTTGGGCTAGTCTGATTATTTCTGCCCAAGAGGACAGAAGTAGCTGCACTCTCTTCTGAGGACTATTTGCCACTTTCTCTTTCAAACTGCTTAGTAACCTACAGCAAGCTCCGTGTTCTTCACCCATTGGTCGCAAGATGTTGTTGGACTACAACTCCCATCTATGTTAGCCAATGGCCAGCAATGATGGGAGCTGTAGTCTGACAACATCTGGAGACCCAACAGTGAAGAATGCTGATGATCACTGAGCAACACTGGTTGAGCACAAGCATGGTAATATGGGCACATCCAACATTTAATTCCAATAAAAATAATGTGCCAATAGCAAACCCACTTTTTGAAATAGCAGGGCATATTTTTAACTTTTCAAAACGGCACTGGTGCTGGGAAGAGACACCTAGCGTTGTCATACAACTATGGGCAACTGTCAACTGCAACTGGTTGCAGGGCAAGAATGTCCATTCAGCTGCAATGTCCAAACCAATTTACCAGGAAGTAAGCCCCACTGAAGGCAGTGAGATTTATTTCCAAGTAAACATATGTAGGATTATGCTGCTGCAAGTCCAGCATTTTCAACATTCCAGTGTTACCAGGAATGCCGTTGACCAGGAATGAAGACTGAAGGATACTCGGGTCTGCACAACCAATGTGCAAAAACAGTGTCATTTTCAGAACAGTGAAGCACTGTTATGAGATTCGATCTAATGTCAGTCCTGCTCAAAGTTGACATCAATGGAGAAGACAAACTTAGGCACATAAATTTTAATGAGTCTTAATTGAACGCAGCCCATAGATATGGGTGTAAGTTGTGCTTGGGGGTTCTCTACAAGAAAAGGTGGCTTGAAGCAGACCACCTAGCCTAGTTTTGTCTGCCCTCATTGGCTGTGGTTCCCCAAGGTCTCAGGCAGAGAGGTTTTTCATGACATCTGTTGCCTGAGGTCCTTTGAACTGGAGGTCCGAGGGGCTGGGTCTGGGGCATTCTGCCTGCACTAAGCTATGCTTCCTGGACCACTAAGCTATGCTTCCTGTTCACCTACAGCCAAACAGATTGCTTTGAATGAAATAGAATTTCATCACAACAGTTGGGGTTCCTGGATGGTTCACACATGCACACCCACCATTTGACGACCCGTACCATGCTAATGGTCAGGGGTCCCTTTACCATGGCTCAAACAGCCACAGTGTTTTTCCATGGAGCCTGTTCACACAATTCAGCTGCATGTCACTCCGGGTTGAACAAACAAGTGATGACATATTGAGCAATGCATTTAGGTCATAGCTGTCAACGTTTCCCTTTTTTTTTTAAGGGAAATTCCCTTATTCCGAATAGGATTCCTCGCAAGAAAAGGGAAAAGTTGACAGCTATGATTTAGGTGCATGTATGTATGAATGAGTCAGCTTTTTTTCCAGGTTAATGGGGAAAGCACTTATGCCTTTCTTCAAGAGGAAGATGATGGATGACTCCTTGTGTGTATAAAAGGAACATCACAGATCACAGTTATATAGCAGCAGATAGAACTTTCATGCCACCTGAACCAATGCTTTTCAATGGAGGCAGTTCAGCCACCAAGTATATAGTAATCAAGCAAAATAAATGCACGTGAGAAAGAGTCCAGTGCGCTTAGGATCGGGGAGCTACAGTGTTTATCCCAAGCAGATGTTTATAAGATCTACGGTTGCTGCATTAGAAATCTCCCTTAAAAAAGATATAAACATGTAAGATTCTCTAAGAAGCAGCTTGTCCAATACAGTTGATATGTAACACTCCAGAAAAGTAATCTGAAAAGCCCTCTAGCTGGAAACTATATGCCTAAACAATAAGCCCTGCCAGGGTCTTGAGAAGGTCAAAGGAGGGAGGAACCAAGGCAGTGAGGGACAACCAGGAAAATTAGGTTTCAATGAGAGGTGTCCCTACCCATCAGGGTCAAAGAGGAAAGAGACAATTCCAAAATCCAGTCGGGCAATACCGTTATTCAATTTAGGACCAAACAAAATGTCACAAAATGAATTGGTCCTAATAAAGGTATTGACCAACCATGGGACTGTTATTATTATTTTCCTTATGGGCCAATGCAGCTCCTTTTGTCACCACATCCTCATTTCTAGTGTAGGGAAGTGGCTAAAGGATGAGCAAGTTTTAGTTGCCAGCTCAAATCCTACCGTACGCATGAACTTACTAGGTGGTTTTTGGGAAAAGTGGTGTACAGTATTGGCCTACCTTACCAGGGTAGGACAAATTATGGAGGGGGGAATCTACATTAAGCAGTTTAAAGCACTCAGAAAGGATATCATCATCATCATGGTATAATAATACATTCATACCATCTAAGATAAAAGCCTCTGCATTCTGCTTCTGCTCAGAAGCAGTTCCTGCCATTTCAGCAATATCTGATCTGGCCAGATCTCATGGCAAGTCCCAGTGTCAACACAACTACCTGACAGCATTGGCACAAGCACTTATCCTTAAATCTAGCTGATCCACCTAGGAAGCCGATTCATATATTTTTGCAGTTGCATGGATCCCTAATTCAGGGAAGTGGGGCGGAATTAAGAACAAAACGGCACATTTGGCAGCAATTATGCCAGCTTGTCTATGTCTAAATCAGACCTGGTTTTCTTCACAACTGGACCACTGCTTTGCTGGTGGCGGTGGGGGGTGGGTCAGTTCACTTCATGCAGGAAATGCATGGTGCTGCGATGAAGTTCTTTGCAGGCTGTTGCTTTTACAGTGTTCAAATTCACACTTCCGCTTGCTGCAGCACTCAAAAGAATAAGGTTAAGAGCCCTGCTGGGGGACACCAAAGGCCCGTCCAATCAGCATTCTGTTCTCAGAGTGGCCAACCAGTGGCTTATGGGAATCCATAGACAGGGTATAACAGCAATAGTATGCATTCCCTCGCTTGTGATCATCAGCAACTGGCACTCGGAAGCATCCTGCCTCTGATACTGGAGAGGATGCAACGCCCTCATGGGTTGCAGCCAGCAAAATCCTTACCCTCCATCCATTTGTCTAAACCCAGCCCTGCTTTAAAGTCATCCAAGCTGCTGGCCATCGCCACATCCTGTGAGAGCCAATTTCATAGTTTAACTATGTGCTGCTGTGTGTGAAAAACTACTTCCCTTTGTCCCGAATCATCAAGCTTAATGGATGTGGCATGTGAAAATAGGTCCTGGCCCCATATTTGAATGAAGAGCTAGCAAAGGATGTGCTGCTGCTGCTGCTGCGGCGGCTGTGAACTAGGCAGTTAGCTCAGTGGTTAGAGCATCGCAGGGGGTTGGACTAGATGATCCTCGGGATCCCTTTCAACTCTATGATTCTCTGATGCTAAGCAGCTGGCTCAGGGTGGGGGGGGGGAGACAGAGGTCATCTGAGAGAAGGGGGTAAAAATGCATGGGTAAAATCTCCTGTTAGTGGGGAGATGAGTTCATAGAGAATGCAATTAGAGGGTAGAAGGACCTTATCTCACCATCTTACCCTACTTCCAATATATGGGGTTATTCCCATTTTGTCTTTACAATAGGTGAGGCTAAGTTAGCCTGGCACATGACTGGACAAAGCTTTAGGATTAATGAGGGTTTTGAACCTGGTTCTCTCACCAGTCCAAATCATCCTGCTAGAGCCCATTGGTTTGAGAGGCTGCTCAGCCATACAAAAAACGTGGTTTAGAATGAGCCACGTTTGTGATGCGGGGGACTGCATAGACGCCACACACTGAAAGCACACACCTACACACCAAAAGGAATCCTGGGAACTTTGTCCATCCCTCGCCAAACTACATTTCCCAGCACCCTTAACATATTACTTGTTGGTTCCCTCCTTTTGCCTTTTCGGTCTTTTGTTTCTCTGTTCTCTCTTGCACTTGCACCTTGGTCTTAAAAGCCCTTTCCTTGGAAATCACTTTGTTGATTCCAGGTTAAATGTTTTATTCGGACTGCAATCCTAGGCATGCTCACCTTGGACTTAGTTCTGATCAAACTTCCATGGAATTGGACTGCAAGACCGTGATACTGACTATGTATTTTGGGTGGGTGGGAGAGAGAGGGGAGAGAAAGAGAAAGAAAGAAAGAAAGAAAGAAAGAAAGAAAGAAAGAAAGAAAGAAAGAAAGAAAGAAAGAAAATATGGAGGAGTCTACCCAAGAAGTACCCATCTACCCAAGAAGTACCCATCTACCCAAGAAGTAACAGACCTACTCAAAAGAAAAGGGGTACACAGTAGCTCCAACAGTAGAGCATGAGACTTGTGCTCTCAGGTTCAAAGGTTCAAGCCCCACAAAGATTCCTGCATTGCAGGCGGTTGGACTAGATGACCCTTGAGGTCCCTTCTACAATAAGTGATTCTCTAATAAGTGAGATCTGTGCATAAAGACAAATGGACACACAGTTCAGCCAACGTTAAGATGAATCAGCGAGAGTGCTGAATTCTCCCCTCTTGGCTATCAAGGCTAGTCCTACTCAGAGTAGACACATTAAAATCAATGGATAACTTGGGTTCAGTAGTTTCAGTTCTAAGTATTGGAGCACAACCCACTGACTTTGCCTAGATTGCCTCCAGGATGTTTTACGGCTACAAAAGGCTAAGCAGAAGAGCATGTGGAAAGAGGTTGAAGGAAAGTGGCTGATCTTCCCAGCAGAGAAGATACACAGCTTCGTGGGATATACAAGCATGTAGATCTGCAAGCCACAGATTGATTGATTCGTACTTAGCTAGCTAGACTTAGAATTGTATGCCTCTTCCCCCAAACCTCCCAACCCCACAAAGAGATATTTGTACATCCTAAGGAACAAGGACTCAGAAAGTTCTGGCTATAAGCAAAGGTTAAGGGAAACATCTGCGTATCTAAGACAAAAATCGACCGCCCCACAAAATGCAATAACCTTGAATTTATGAGATCATAAATCATGTGAAGTGAACGAGGAACATACATTATCTGTCAATATGTACATTTCAAGATAGATGGTGCTGTTAAGACAGACGTCTTCAACAGCTCAGTGGGAAATTGTTTTAAACAGCATAATATACACATTATATATTTAATTTGTCGTGCGGGAGGGAGAGAGAGAAAGAGAGAGAGAGAGAGAGAGGGAGAGAGAGAGAGAGAGAGAGAGAGAGAGAGAGAGAGAGAGAAACTTACTTTTCATGTTTTGGAGACGATGTGAGGGTTTCTTTTCCCTGAGTTAAAATTCCCTCTTCTTGGAAAGGAAAAAAAAAAGTCCTCCTTTGGTTTTTAGTTTGGTGTTATTCTTGTAAGGTTTAATTTGGAAGTTGCTTGTTTTGTGGGATTTTTCCTTTAAAAAAAAAAGTTTTCTTTGGTTTGCAAATTTCTTCCACACCACACCTGTTCTCTGCCTTTTGCAGGAGGTTCGGTCCTTTGAGGTAGATGAATTCACACGTACACACACAAAAAAGGTGCAAGATGGCAATAGCCTCTCCAACAGATAAATAAATAAATAGATAAATAAATAAATAATAACAAAACAAAACCAGGCACAACTAATATAGTGTATAATCTCCCAGATTGCCCCTTGTTCAGTTTTTTCTTTTTTTAAAAAAAAATATCTTTTTTTAAAAAAAAAAAAAAGAGTAAAAGGAGAACAGAAAATTAATTTTGTAAAAAGTTGCCCAGACCAGCTTTTAACTGTTCAGTATTTGTATATGTGCATGTGTGTGTTTTACATCACTTACAAATTGGTCTTTATATACACCCCGGCTCTTGTCTAGGCGCGTGTTTTTTTTTCTCAAATGGTGACACATCTTGACTCACACACTTTTCCATTCAAAAAAAAAAAAAAAAATCCAAGAAAGGGAGAAAGAAGAGAAAAAAAACCCCATAGGGCACAGGAAAAACTCTCTGAGTTAACCTTGCGTTTTGAAGTGGGCGGCCCAGGATGACACATATTCTCTGCAATGCTGTGCGCTGTCCCTTTAAGAGGGATTTTTAAGGTGTGTGTGTGTGAAAGAGAGAGAGAGAGAGACTGGATGGGGGGGGATGCCAGTTGGGTGTTTGATGAGGTCATGCTCCAATCCCCCCCCCAAAAAAAACTCCACAGGTTCTACACTGTCTCTCACTTTTTTGTTTTTTAAAAAGAGAAGCCCCTTACCCACCAAAAAAACCTCACAGCGCTCAGTAACTTTAACTGAGAGGGAAAGACAGATAAGGAAAGTAGAGAGCGCAAAAGCTGGAGATCAAGAAAGGAAAGGATGCGAAGAGTAAACTCGTTGAGGACCCCTCACAACCATTTGCATGCAGACACTCCTGTGCTTGAGAGATTTATCAACAGAAGGACCTAGCCCAATCGGAGGTGTCTTCTTCGTACTACCAAACCCAAGAGAGCAAAAATTGGGAGCTCTTTTGGAGGTCTGACGCTGGAGATCTTTTCAGAACTAAGCAGAAGGAGGGGTTGAACCCGGACCCACATAGATCTGAAAGCGTAACACACGTCATGTTGCCCCAGGTCACCACAAAGGTGAATTCACTGGAAGTAGTAATAACCATTTGCTGCTGTTCCTCCCCACCGTCTGGCTGTCAAAGATGGGCTGCTACTGAACAGGGAGGCTTGATCTCTGCCTAATTGACACTGACCAAGGATCTTCTCTATAAATATGCTAGCCCCTTTCAAAGTTTCCCAGCCCAGCTGCAATGGCAACATCTGGTAGCAGTGAGTTCCATAGGTTATCATAGACTTCCATGTGTTGCACAAAGAAACTCCTCATCTGCCAGCCAATTCGCTTCACGTTATGACTAAATTTCTAGTGTTTTGACAGGAAGGGCAAGATCCAGAAAAAGTGAAGCATGTTTACTTGGAAGGAACTCCCACTTGACATTACATTCTTCTGTGGATTTCAATGGGGAATGCTAACTACATGCTTAAATCTTTCCTCCTAAATTCAATGGGACTTTAAACATTGTCTAGATTGTACTCACGAGTAAATGCTTTTAAAAAAAGAAAAAGAAACTGCATATTGAATAAGGACAAGCCATAATTTCTATAGCACCATTACAATACTTTTTGTTGATCGCTCCCTTTTTAAAGTTTACCTTAAGTCTTACCTTTGAGTTGAATTTCACAGAACCCTTTGGCCTTTCTGCATGACACAAACTCCTCTTTTACTCAAGAGTATTATAAATACATAATTTATCAACTTCGTATTTCCAGAGAGTCATTGTGGATCGACAGAAATACATATTTATGAAAGCAGCATAGACAGAAAATGAAATTGAGACAATTTCAGAGAAGAGACCAAAGAAGATTCTCAGATACAACACATGTATTCCTTTATTACGCTATTAAAATCCCTCAGAGAGCCCACGATAGCATACACGGTCCCATCCTTTTATTACAACAAGCCTGTAAGGTAGATTATGCCCTAGCAAATTTCATGATAAGGCCAGGAGTCTGAACCTGTGTCCCCCAGGTCTAAATCAAACCACTACCACTTCTTCCAAAGTAAATTCAAATGCAAACAGGTGGTGGCATTATTAATGGTATGATAGGCTACATCATAAAAAGGGACGCGGGTGGCGCTGTGGGTTAAACCACAGAGCCTAGGACTTGCCGATCAGAAGGTCGGCGGTTCGAATCCCCGCGACGGGGTGAGCTCCCTTTGCTCAGTCCCTGTTCCTGCCAACCTAGCAGTTCGAAAGCACATCAAAGTGCAAGTAGATAAATAGATACCGCTCCGGCGGGAAGGTAAATGGCATTTCCATGTGCTGCTCTGGTTCGCCAGAAGCGGCTTAGTCATGCTGGCCACGTGACCCGGAAGCTGTACGTCAGCTCCCTCGGCCAATAAAGCGAGATGAGTGCCGCAACTCCAGAGTCGGCCACGACTGGACCTAATGGTCAGGGGTCCCTTTACCTTTACTAGGCTACATCATACTATTAACCAAGCTGAGGCTCCTGAGAATATAAAATGTCCTGCCCACAGGAGCAAACCAGACCCTTGCGCTTGGCCACAATGGTGGTTCAGGGAAGTATTAATGCAAAGTTGACTCTTAGGAAACACTTTTTTTATATTCAGCGTCCGGCCAGTGGACCTTACAATAAAATGTTGTG